ATATTTTAAATAAAAATGGATAATTTTTTTGAATATTTATCACATAGTTGAATTTTTTCAAATATATTTCACATCCGACAAATGTTGCATGTAACATAAAAAATGTTAACAATTTTCCTGAAAATTTATCATTTGCTACTGTATGCATAAATTCATGTAATAAACCACTGATAAAAAATGCGGAATATCCATAGAATATATAGTTAATCGATTGTTTATCTTTTTCTAAGTGAAATAATTTTGGTAAGGCAATAAATGAGATACGATGTAACGATTGTTTAACATAAATATTCCAACGATGAGACCAAAAATCTTGTAAACTAGTANTCGTACTCACTGATACAAAACAAACTGATAAAAAAAGGTCAGTCAGTAAATGATGGTGCTCCACTTACGGTTAATCGAGTGCAAATATATACCGCGAGACAAAAAGAAAAATATATGAATGGCATGAAATTTTTTTCCAATATTAACGATGTAACGATTGTTTAACATAAATATTCCAACGATGAGACCAAAAATCTTGTAAACTAGTAGCTAGAAATGGATATTCAGGAAATACCGATTGTGTTGATATATTCCAACATAAACCACCTAGTCCAAATACTACATTAGCTACCATTCCCAGAGCAAAATAGAGTATAAATCCATATAAAAAATAGGTAAAAACACATTCTAAATTAAATACATGAAAATTTTTACTATGTAATTGTAAATAATGGTATGGAACATATTTGAGAGTTTGAATTAAAAACAAAACATCAAACAGTCCACGAATAATAATTAAACAATTTTGACGAAATGGAGAAAAATTAACACCATATTTGTTCGATAAAATTAAATATTTAATATTCTCGAGCATAAAGTCTCTAAAACTGACAATATCACGTTTATCTGACTTAATTTGTCTACTTGATTGATACTTATACAACGGAAATGTAGAAAAATCTATGCCAATTTGATATAGAGATATGTGACACAGTTCTAACCACGTATATGTAAAGGCTAGTTCAGTCATTTTAATAGCGAATAAGAAACCGGTTACAGGTGAGACAACATTGACCAGTGAATTTGCAAATTGTAAATTTGAGAAATATTTAAGATAAATAGGTGTAAATAAGGATAATAGAATACATAATAGACTTAACAAACGAAATGTATAGTAAGAATTGCGATGCTGACTAATTAATAAAGACATAGCAACGAAACCTATGATTAAGCCATAGATAAAATATAGTACGGTAAATGTAATCAACATTCTTGAGGTAACAACCTAAAGAGAAAAAGTTCAATTGAATTTTATCTAGATCGATTTTTTGTTATCTTATCATACTCTCGACTGTATATTCTACAAACGACATTTTCTTTTCAATATTTTACAAGAGATACCAATGTAATTAAATGAAATAGATTTTAAGAATTTATCAAAATCAGTCAATATTAAAAAAATGTCTATGAAATACATACCTGTAAGCAACTAAATTTTATTGCTTTATATAAAAATGAAGAAAAAATCCAACAATTCAAAAGACAGTAAGAAAATTTGATACTCGACTATCTGAACGTTTTATTCTGTTTTTCTAAAATCAATTTAACAGAAAAAAAAATTACATGTTACTCATATTTTACCTACTTATAAGCGATTATTAAACGTGTTATGTTAGTTTTTATAACTATTTGTGTATGACAAATAGAACTTTTTTGTCAACACGTGTATTTTTTACTTTCCTGGTATTGTTTAACAAACTTTAAAGATGCAAAATAAATGTTTGCAGAACATTAATTTATATATATTTTTATTCCATTTCTGGTATATATTCCAGAAATAAATACGTTTAATCATGCTTAAACAATTTCTAAAATCTAAGAAATCGTTGGTAGTCAATGCTTATCAAAGTGCAAAAGTCAATAATAATAGAATATTTCAGGCAAAAAATTTTATTCAGTAAATTTTTGAGTCATTCATCGTACAAAAAAGATGAAATAATATATAGAGTACGTGATTTGCAGTCAATAATCCTTTCTCAGGGTACTTTTTTTATTTGTTAACTCTGATTAAAATAATGTCTTTGAATCTCATCAGAGAAAATTTTGTTTTGAAAGAAAAATCATTTTACTTACTTTTCTAAATTAACATACAATAAACTGTTTAATTGCATTTATTTCTATCTTGTCTCATGACATTTGTCGATATTTTTTCAATAGTCTAGGTATAGATAGAACAAAAATAACATTTTTTCCAAGTATAACCTGTACATCAAAAACGTTTTTTTTTTTATATGTAAAAACAATGAGTAACAACATTCTGCTATATAAAAATTGCTTGAAAATCCATTATTTGCTTCCTTTCATACAGAGCACATATTTTCACGTTGTATATTTAACATGCAGTTTGAAGACGTAATACTCTGCCATCATTATGTTCAAACATGTATTGTAGATTCAATCGTTAATATTGGAAAAAAATTTCATGCCATTCATATATTTTTCTTTTTGTCTTGCGGTATATATTTGCACTCGATTAACCGTAAGTGGAGCACCATCATTTACTGACTGACCTTTTTTTATCAGTTTGTTTTGTATCAGTGAGTACGAAGAACAAAAAGGTAAGACTGGAATGTAACAAAAAAAAAGAAGAAATTACAAACGTGAATTAAAATATATCCTCTTCTTCGACATATAGATACTATCCGTTTACAAATTTGTCTCATAATTATAATAGAAGATATAGGTACGAGTCTTATTTAGAGTCCTGCATGTATGACCGCTAGACGCTGTTAACGCAAGCATGTATAAATTTGTAATATTAGAAAGAAATCAATATGTTATTTAACTCTGTTTTGATGTTCTTTTAAACGAAACTTTAATTCATTTTAATTTTGTCTGAATGATTACATAGGTGTATAGTTATTGTACATGATGCCGTGCGGGTTCATTTTACGGATGTAAATGCCATTTTATATACCAAAATTTCTGCATGAGTGAAACGTTCTGTTTTTTTCTATATATTTTTTTGCGATGATCGGATCATCGCAAAATATCTGTACAATTTTGATTCAAAGGATTTTTTTAGTAATAGTATATCTAAGTCGCCATGAATGTTAGGATCATGCTCAGTTTTGTGGTTGAAAAGCCCTTTTCTTGCTAACTTACGATTCGGATATTAACGAAAATAATGTTCAAATGTTTCTTGCTATTTACACTTACATAAACTTGATCATTTATCTCTTATTACACTTCGAGAGATAAATCATACTCTAGTACCAAAACGTTAACTCTCGAGTGCAATATAAGCTGTTCTGTTAATTTTTCTTTCTACACGGGAAATTTTCATGCTCCGATATTTCATGCTAAAGAGGATAGCGCAAAGTTTTCCACTCTTTCAATTTTATCGAATATTTGTCCACTTTATTTTGTACTGCTTTTCCAAACGATTTCTAATTTATATCTTAGGAAAGCATACCCAGGTCGACTCTCGCGCAAGCGATCGCTATGAACTCCCGTTGTCGCAACGCGATCGCTTATGAGTCCCGATCTTAAACAATTCTTATCTAGAGAGAAGAGGAATTTTTAAGAGTCGTGGTGAGTTCGCGATGTCGCGGCGCGAGTCTTGTTTGTTCTGTGTTATATCTTATATTATTTTTCTGAACTTTTATAACACACACATACTGAGAAAAAGAAAAGAATAGGCCACGTGTATGTGTGTTGTAGAGATAAGACCGTGTTCGTAAGAATTCACTAACGTACGCTATATATAGTGACCGCTGACGTTTTTTCTTTCCTATCCTTTCGTGTATATAACGTCGTATATTGGATATTATTGCACTGAAGAATCATTGTGCATTGGATATGATGATGATTTCATTAACCCTTTAAGTTCCCAAGGCTTAAACGCTTGGTTTTGGGTCAACGGCTTATTAAAGTAACCAAAGATCAAACGTATCTAAGTTTAGACCATTATGTATGAGGTAGCTGAGACAAAAAATGAGCTATGATGGTGAAGAAAATCTAGAATGATCAAGAAATGGAGCCCGAAATCCCAGTAAAATATGACCTTTCGTTTTGTACCATCAGCAACCTACAGTTTCCTACAATAATTTATTCCACTGACATAATTTGAAAGAGCGCACCTCCCTACATATTTCTGAAAAGTCATGAATAAAAAGCTTTTCCTAAAGTATCTAAAAAATTAAATTGTTGTTTAGTAAAATTATGAGCCATAGTACCAGTAAAACATGGTCAAAATTCTTTATACTTTTAGAATATTAAAAAATTCCTTTCATTTTGAGAATTAGGAGACGATTTTCGTTTGTCAAGGGTTTGGGTACGCTGAGTAAATTTTACATTTAGAGTAGTGCTAAAATCACTTTTTGGAAGTCTGTCGAGATTCTTGTTCGAAAACATCATGTATTTCGGTAGGCTGACTATTTTTATCCCAAATAAAACAAAATTGAAAAAAACTAAACGTTTTTTTTGTGGCCTAATTAGCTTGATGAAGATAGCCGCAATGAAGATCAAATTCATACGGCCAAATAGAACAAAAGTAGAGCTACATAATGATATAATTCATAATTAATTAGCACTGATCGTTAATGAACTAGCATCCATTTGAAAAATATCCATGTATTTGAATCAACAGTCGACTTTATCAACCTTGTTGATATCAAATTTTTACGTTTAAAAATGGATGGGAAATAGTGAAATTACGAACAATATTTCGAGTCAGAGACAGGATACCTAGACCTTGACCTGTGCGGGTCAAGGTCAAAACTTGTAGGAGAAACTAGAAAGTTTAACTGTAAGATGGCTTATTGTTGTTCGATCTAATGAACAATTTTACCTCGGGTCTGGTCCTGACCTATAAAGTTGAACCTGGACCTATGACCTGAACTTGTGACCTGGATGCTGGGTCCGTTGCATGAAAAAATTCTGATAGTGTGAATTTACAATACCCTGTACTAGAGTTTAAGAACAGTTCTTAGAATATATGAGAAGCACGTGATAGATATTTTGAACAAAAATGTCTTTAGACAATAAGGTTATTACGATTTTTCATTGTTCTCAGAATTTCCAACAGGAGAGAAAATGTGTATGAAATAATTCAGTTTCACACTGCTAGATATAGTCAATGGCTGATATGTTGCTTATGCCGACAGGTCACAGGTAGAGGTTCAGGTCAAAGTCCAGGTCCCCTTTTTCAGGTTCACATCATGCAGATCAAAGTCCGCTTTTGCTAGGTCAGGTCTGGACATTTGACCTGGACCTGACCTGGACCATCCTGTCTCTGTTTCGAGTACTGACTCGTTTTATCCCGTAATACTCCATATAAGTTCAATGCGGATGAAAATATCACTCACTAAACACTTTTCTAATTAGAAAGAAAAAAAATAGATAATTTAGCTTATACAGCGAAATGGGAAATATTCAATCTCAACAGACAAGAGTACATTTAACGAGATAATCGATATAGAATTTTTTGTATCTGCAGACATGACTCATACACTGGTGCAAAAATGCAACAAGAGATTTTAGACGGTGTCAAATTTTTATTCTTCTAGAAAATGTTTATCTTTGAATTTTTCTGCGCATAAATCTTCAAAAATGTCACACCTTGAAATATATCACAGAAATATGTGGTAAAAAATCAAGTTTTTTCAAAAAACTAAACGGAGAAAATACTACCGATAGCTACGAGACCGATTGGATAATGATAATTGCCTCGTTTTTGTCAACCAGTCTGGCCGATACAGATCTGTCCAATCGGTTTTAACTCTAGGATGATTTATTTATTTTGTGTACGTGAAAAGCCGCCAAATTACAAGCAAACATACATATAATCTGATAAGATTTACAAGTTGGAGCTGTTATATTTCGGAAATGTTATTTGATTGTGAAACATAATTTTTAGAGACCTCAATAGGATTTGCCAAGGGTGTGGTTTGAGACACTCTTCTTACTATCCTAAGCGTAAATCTTTTTAATTTTCTCGTGCCACTAGTTGCAACAATGTAATCTTTTTTCAAACACGATCCTCATCTACTCAAATTTCATTCGGTCTCTTGCTCAGGGTTCCCGATCAGGGAGGGGGGGGTACGGGGAGTGCTGGTCCCTCCCTAAAAAATGCTTTGGGCTTTCTGACAAAATTTTTGACTTTTTTCCACTAGCAACTTTCTGACAAAAAATTTCGAAAACTTTTTTTCGCCAGCCACTTTCTGTGAACCAAAATTTTTAACTCCTCCCATCCCTAAGAACAATCGGAAACCCTACTCTTGCTATAAGTATTTTGAATTAAAATCCTCTCACTCCGAAAGCTCTAATAGATCTTTTTTGATTTTTGTTCTCTATTGTAAACGAAACCAGTCTTTTCTATAATTTCTGCTAGAAATGAGCAGACTCGCAGACACCGTAAATAGACTCAAAGTATTGAATTGCGAACATAAACAGAATTTTAGTCCTTATTTAAAAAAAAAGGAAGGCAAATATCTTTGTCTGAATTCTTTTATCACATCAAAGAAGTAACAAGTTATATATTTTTTATCAATTTCTGTTTATTTGTTTTTCTTTGAAAAAAGAAGCACAACAAAACTACACAAAAACAATCATGCCGTTAATAAAATTCATAAATGAAGAAAAAAAAAGTTCTCCACATTTGGTTTCGAATGGAGAGACATAACATCTGCAAGGCGGCAAAACAAAATATAACACACAAACAAAAAAATAATGGCTTTATTTAAATCGTCAATTTGCACACACACAAACTATCGTACTATTTTACTACTTTCGGATTTTATCATATGTCTCAGATGAGTATGATGATGTTTTTTATGTTTCTTTTCTTTTCTGTCTTTTTTATGATGAAATTTTTTCGACGATAAATTATCATCACTTTCGTTAACATCATCGCGTTCGTCCATCTTTGTTGTCGTCTTCAATTTTCCATCGATTTGAGTCGTTGTTGGTGATATTGACGTGGAACGATGGCGTCTTATACTAGAATATGCGCTTTCTGATATTTTTTTTTGGTGTCTATCAGGTGACGAAACATGTCGTGTTTGAGGAGACGTTCGTGATCGATGATGGTAATGTGAACGATATTCCTCTTCTGATTTTGATGGAACAGAAGATGATGTTGTTGCGTACACCTTTCGAGATACAGATAATTCTTTGTCTAAATTTTGATCAGCATTATCAGAAACAACCTTCAAGATAAATAGTACAGATGTTAGTTTAATTCAAACTAGAGACAAATATACATGTGAAAATAAAATTACACTGTATATTTTTAGATCATACACTAAGAGTTTGACATACCACTTGAAGTTTTGATGTTGATGCCGTTGACATCTGTAGATGCTTTCGTCCATTTGAATCCGAGTTATTTCCATTTCCTTCTTCTTTTGCAACAAACGATGACAAATGTGGATGTGCTAGAGACTAAAATAAAAAGATGAGCATTCATCATGATTGAACAGTTTCACAATTTGTTTACTTTTTCTGTTGTCGATTTGCTTATTGATTTATTCAAATATTCTTTGTTATTTCTAGTGTTATTTCTTGTTGAAGATGATGTTATTTTTGTGCGTGAAGAAGATTGTGAACGATCTGTCGGTGGCGATAGATTATTGTATCGTTCATTTGAGATTGACGAAGTAAACTACATATACAGATAGACACATAAAAATCAATAGATACTTATGCTTAAATGTCTGACAATAGAAGAATAACAGACAGAGATATTTTTAGAAACTCAAGTTTAATATTAATTAACAAATTTCTTATTTCATTTATTTTTAATGTAATTAATGAAACAGAATGGATTGTAGTAAGGCAGACCAATGCAAAGAAACTTTTTAATGAACTACAATAAATCATGTATGTTCGCGAAAAATGATGGGTCTTTTTGATCAACCTATATCCTTTTCTGCAAAAATTTTATCAAAACGATTGGAGAATTCCATTAGTTTCTTGCATTAGTCTTTACGTCCTTGTAAAATATTTCCGACAATACGATTTAAATACTTATTAAGAGAATTTTTTAGGAGAATAAAAAATGCGAAAAAAAGGTATAGTCACCTACCTTTGTTAACTCTTCGCTAGTTGACGTCACTTCTAAACAAAGATATGAAAAAAAAACACAATAAAATACATAGGTTTAAGAGCAGAGAAGGAAATGTCCTTGTTTCAGACTCAGAGTATTGTGCCTTTCTATAATGAAACAGAATCTAATCACATCGAATGATTAAGCCAAATAGTTCATCTCACGCATTTCTGATGAGGATAATGAGAATAGGTGCACTTTCACGTCGATAAAGTCATACTAAGGACATAAGAGACGAAGCGTCTTAGAATTAGGAGGCTAAAAGAAATTTTCAACACGCTCGTTGGTTATTGAGGCAACTCAGAACTACTGACTCCGCCGTCTATGATTATGGATTCTCTATTTTGCAGCTCAAACATTCTAAATATGCTGTTATTCTCCTCCTAGTTATCTAACGTACAAACCTCTATGAAAACTAATCATTCACTATTCACTGAACTGATTTAGCAACGAAACAAATCCAGCCAAACTGGTTAACGTAAAAAAAGCATGAAAAGAACACATGAGGAGAATTTTTTTATAACTATTAAGGGACAAGTTGTCTCATCAATATAGATCTCGAATTGTTTCTTGATGTAATCACACATTCGAGAAAACGGATTCTTAAGAATTGCCCACAAATGAGAATTTGAATGAATATCAGTTGTAAGTTAGGAGCCAAAAAACATCTGTTTGCAGTTGAAACGCATTAGTATATATCAAATTGTACCATTGTTGAATATTTTCTCTTCATGATTTTGACACATATTTTGCCATCACCAACCATACGTACCCCTGGCTTACTTGTGTAGTAGAAAAAAACGTCATCACTCTAACCTTGTTTACATCTAAAGTATTCACATGGTGGAAATGAATATACGTATACTACGATCTAATGTTGTTGTCGATTTCCACAACTCATACATTATGATGTGAAGAAGAGAGGAGGAGAAACAAAAAAAGGTAACAACAAAGAGAGAAAGAGAGAGCAATATCAACAAGAAATACAATGAAGATTGATGCTGGTTTTGTTTCGTTGAATAAGGTATAATACCATATTTATTTTTCCATTTTCATTAATATAGGTCTGTACATTATGTACAAACATGCGCATATTACACTTAAGAAGATTAAAACTAAAAACACACATATTCGCAGACACATAAAAAACGTATCAAAAATAAATTATAAAATAAATTAGCAAAATTGTCACTGTGTCTTTATATTATTAAAAACTCACTCGACACACATTTTTCACTATTAATAGACGAATAATATTTTCTTTTTTGCTTCTTGAATATAACTCACCGTCATTCATTGTTTGTTGCACTTTATTATCATCATCGGTCATCATTGTTGATACGAGTGATATTTCTGGATAAATTTCTAAGATGGGATGATGATATTCTTGTTTGTGTTCGTCCTGTTCTGTGATAGAGGGTGATTCGACTTTTGTGCGTTTATTTTTATCATTATTATTAGGCACAGTAATTAATGTTGGTTCCATTAAAGGTGATTCACTTTTGCGTTTACGTTGATAAGATGAAGATTCAGATTTAATAGATGTCACCGATATAACAGGACAGTTATCGCTATCCATTTTAGATTGTTTTGATGGTAAATGAGATAAAGACAAATTGGAATTCGTATTAATTGACGTTGAATTTTGAAAATTAGTGTCAAATGAGATTGACTGAGGAACAGAGAGAGATACATGAGGACTAGTATGTGATTGTGTTTGTACAGGATTGGAATTGAAAGCTAAAATGAAATATAGAGTAATAATTTTAGAAATGAAATATGAATTATTAATAACTTACTTTCATGCCTCGACCGTTCTTTTTCGTGTCTTGCTTGATCAAAATGATTTTCATGTGAATGATGCCGTTCTTTCTGCTGATAATGATCATTTTCTGTTCTACCTGTTCTATGAGGAGAATGTTCGCGACTTCTTGATGAATGTTTCTTTTGTTGTGAAGGAGAAGAGCGTCGTGATTTTGAATTATAGCGTCTATTACCACTGTTTCGTTCACGTTTATCATCATTTTTCCTTGATTCTTCACGATATTTCGATGATGAATGTGAGTAATGATCATTATTTGCTCTCGATTTTGGTTTTCGGTCATTTGAATGTCGACGATGATAAGAACGCTGGCTGCTGACTGGTCGATCAGTTGTTCGTCGTGACGGCGATGTGAGCGTTTCTGGACGGTGGTTATGATCACGACTGCTTCGACGACGAAAATGACGTGAGGATGTTAATGAAGGTTCGCGACGTCTATCACGCGATGGACGACGTGTATTATAACGTGTTTGCGATGTAGATGAACGTCCAGGAGATAAACTAAAAAATTAATTATTTCTACAAATGTAACGCGTCTAGTTTGCTACGAAAGAACTCTTCCTAACGGTTAGATCTCTGCATAAACCATTCTTAAACGTTAAATTCTGTTTAAAAAGTTTTGTAAAATGATGCGAGAAACAAAGACAGACGTTCGTTTACATGTTCGAAGGCAGATGGTTAATTACTTTATTTATTTCATAGTCGATTTTCAAACCAATTATTAAAAAAAAGGGAAAAAAACAAAAGGGAAGAAATGCTAGTTCATATGACATTTCACCTACCGTCTATGATTTGAATAGCGACGATAGGTTGGCGATGGTGGAGAGCGTGCACTTGACGAACGACGATGCCTTGGTCGTCGACCATGACTAGATGTACTCCGAGAACGACTATGGGAATCACTTTAAAATATTAAAAGAATAAAATGTGCAAAAAAAAAATGAAGTGGCAGCGAAAATCATTGTACCTGTGAGAAAAGGATGAATACGTTCGAGAACGAGAATGACTATGACTGAAACGACGTGTATGTGTACTACAAACGAAAAATAAATTGACCTTTGTTAACGAAAAATTCTCCTTCGTTTTTCTCAACTTTGCTCTGACTTGATGTTTCTAATTTATTAACTTACATTTGTTGTAATAGTCTTTGTTTTTCACGATAAAATTCTTCTTCACTTAAAAGTGCTGCTGCTGCTGCTGCGGCGGCGGCGGCAGATGATGTGATACTAGGTGAAACTTGACTTGGGTTTAACTGAGACTGAAAATGTTGAGTTTGAGGTGATGGATACTGAACATGAGGATGAGTCTGATAGGGCAAAACATTGGTATGTGCAGGATGATGAACTGGAAGAAATGTTGATGGAATTAGATGATGAACCGGGTGAGTTTGATGATGTAATAAATGCGGTGGAATTTGATAACCATGACCATAGGGCGGTAGAACCGGCCTTCCACCAAACGGAGCTGATACATACGGTGACCTAAACACAACAGAAACATGTTTAATACACAAGCAATAAACTATTCGCAAATCACTCATGCTGCGGGGCGAGTTTACAGAGAATTTGACTAAAACCAACACAGAAAGTAGCTAATCATCAACAAAATTTTGCATGAGGAATGATCCTTATAGTCTGGGTACTTTTCAGAAGATGAAACTGAAAGAAAAGAACTATCATCTTAAAGATTCACGAAAAAGAGAGCTTATTGTTATGGAGAAAATGAACAAATAAAACTGAATAACAGATTAAACTGCAAACTTTATGATTTTAATCTTTTACTTCCCATGAAATAATTTGGAGCAGCAAACGATCGTCCGAATGTGTTAAATATAAAAATAATCAAATATTTCATATTTAACGCATTTAAACGGGTTAAATTCCCAAACTTATCGCGGTCGAACGTAATTTCGAAAAAGAAACGATGAAAACTGCATTCACACTCGTTTAACTGCTAAATTTAACGCGTTATTTAACGCGTAAGTGGATTAACCCGTTAAATGTTTCATTTTTGTAATTTGTCGGACTTTAGTTTAATTTAGAAAAGAAAACACGGTACTAATAGAACTTCTGCATTCTGACATTTATTAGATAATACTTTTTGCTATTTAACGCGTTCTAACGATCGTTAGCCGTTGCAAATTATTTCATATGCTATACGAACCAAATAATGCAACATCTGTTTCGATGATACTCATATAAATTCTGAAATTAAACTTACATTGCTTGTGGCAATGGCATAATTGATCGAGGTGGATACATTGATGGTTGCATTGACACCGGAGGATAGTTGTATGATTGTTGACCATAATGCTGATAAGAGTTAGTTGGTACACCATACGCATACTGTTGTTGTTGCGAATTTTCTGTTGAGCTAGCTATTATTGTTGTAGTGATTGTAGAGGATGAAGGTATAATTGTAGATGATTGAGTGGTGGTTGATGCTTCGCTCGAAGTAAAAACTAAAGAAAGAACGGAGTTGTTAAGCGAATGGCATATTTGATCGAAGACTTATCATTCGAGAATACAAGAATTTTTAACGCATGATAAACTACTTCAACTATAAAAGAGATTGCTTTGAAGGACATATCTACAATTCAATTCAAAAGCATTTGCACAGGACAGCTAATGCAAAATATGTGCATTGTGAGTTATTTTATTCTACTTTTCTCTCAATTTCTTTGAATATTACCTTGACTTTAACATTAAATATGAAGATTACAACGAAGTCTAACGGCGAAAGGCCCCGAAGTGTTATTTCGATTTTTCCTCCAAATATACTTAATCTATTGTAAATTTTTATAAATAAACACTTCAATCATTCTTATTCTAGCTAGATTGAAGAGCTGTAAACTTTTTATCTCTCATCAAAAACTTCCTAATTAGTTTTCAAAACTTTTCAACACACGTGACTTGATCTACTCTACAATCTGATACTATCAAAAGGTGTCCAGATGAAAGTTCGTGATGGATTTCTGAAGATTTATTACCCAATAAATTAGTATGCTTCAAGAAAAATTCGAAGTAGCACTTAGTCCCTCGTAAGTGCAGTGTATACTTACATTCTTTGGGTCCTGTTGCTGTCTGCATTGGATCGACACTCGTCATTGTTTGAGAAGTATCAGTTAAAGTCATGTTTGGCGCCGATACTGAAGCATTCTCAGAATCATCCGTTATGATTTGACTAGAAGTATAAACAACAAGAAAAATAGTTAGTTGTATGAAGAACAGACTCTTCCACGAGCGAAACAGTTCCAATCTGAAGTTTTAAAAGTTCTATTTAAAGCTCAAAACATATTTGTGAATTCACGAAATTCAATAAATAATCGGAGTATTTAACACATGTGCTGCTGTACACAACTAAGTTTTACCTTGTTTGACAAAAATTCTACATTAGCATACAAGTTGATTCGAGTAGTTCAAGATTTATTCTTACCTTCCATCAGATCCATCTTGTTGTTTTCCATCTTCAAATGTCATATCCGCTGGTCTTGTGGCAAAAACTGTAGTCTGTTGAGGCAAAGAACTTTTCTTTATTTGTTGATCTGCGGTAACTATCGACGATTTTGTTTTGAGAGCAGTCGTTGTGGCTTGAACCGCTGACGACATATGTTGTGGTGAACTTTCCATATCGTCATAATAATGTTCATTTAATTTTGTCAGAGCTAGGTCGAAATCAGGATCTGATGCATTAACTGTTGTTGAAGAAGAATATGAAGGTAATGTATATTTTTGTCGTTGTTGCTGGTTTTCACTAAACCATCGTTGAACATGACTTCTCAGAAATAAATTTGGATTTATTTGATCAATTATAACATTTTGACGATGACAAGATGGACATTCATTTTCTTCACTTTCAATTAGCCTAGTACGAACGCCTAAAGCAATAAAAATAAAATTGTAATAAACATTAGTAATATAACCGAAAGAGGAAAGTATTTTCTTATGTATACAAATATGATATTGATATTTCATAGGTGTAGTATAGATACAATATTATGATTAGAAATAATAGTATATCATTGAATTTCAAACATATTGATTTACTTAACTGAGAGGTGCTTAACTATCTCATATCAAGCCAAAGAAAGCAGAGCATGTTTCAAGATTTTCTCTTCGATATTATTAGTCGACTGTAATCGAAGGATTTAATTTCAAGTGAAATCTTCAGCGAAACAGGCTGATATATGCGCATTTCATTCAAAATGGTTTACGATCTATTATTTTTTTTGCATCCTATTTATTACTCACAACGTATCATTTTCAAGCTGTAACATCGAGAAGTTCTATATATACAACAATGTACTAATTTTACGCTCTCATTCCATTTATATTAGAGATAGTCGACAGCAACAAACGAGATATAAAACTGATTAATAAATACTCAAACTTTTTTTAATATAATACTATGATACGAAATTTGTTCAAAAAAAAGACGTCTATTATATTATCACTATATCAGGTAGTCTTCGCCGAGATAGAAGTCTTCAAGTTTTTCCACAACTGCTAAGAATGACTGGTTTTTCTATTATAATGATTTGACTATAATAGCACATATATGAGACATTCTTACTCAATCTCATTTTAATTTTAGAAGACTACCGTCTGTTCAATTAACGTACTTACTCCAAGTTTCCAAATGGACTATTTTTGTGAAAATGCGTACTTTTTCATTATATATGCTTTTCAGAAAGTAGCACGACATCTACTTCCTGAAATCTTTAGCAGTATAGCCTCAACACTTGATAATCAAAATATTCTCATTTAGTAATTATCTCTCATTACACCACTATCGTATTGACAATCTGACAACATCCTGAACTGACAAGACGATAGCCATGCACTCCTACCCATCCATCCTCTTTGTAAAATCTGTTTTATTATTATAAACTGCTTACATTCATCACAAAAACTGAAGTGACAACATGGTGCTATAACAGCATCAACATAGATTTTGTTGCATAATGGACATAAAAGATCTTTTGGTATGGAATTATCATCAGCTTTTGTCGAAGAATTTAATTGAACAGCAGATATAGGTGTTGTTAAACTGATTCCAGATTGTATTTGTTGTTTTTGTTTCAAACGATTGGCTGCATCTTCTCGTTTTTTAACTAATGCTTCACTAAAAAAATGAAAATAAAAATTTGACATATATCATAATAAGCAAACATGCCTACTTACGCCGTTAATTTTGGTATAACATATGATCCACTATCATCTCTTAATGAGCCTGGAATAGCCCTTGGTACAGAGATTAAATCGGATCGTGGTAAACCACTTGTACCTTTGTCACGAATATGACGTCCGTGGTGTGCAGAATAACTAGATGGATATGGAGTATGATGCTCTTTACCACCCTCATTCTAAACAGCAACAAAAGAATGCACTGAAGATCAATTGACCACTACTCTAGAAAATACTTACCACTGCATTTAGTGGACACATTCGTTTGTGATGTCCGTGTTGATTACATTTGTGACAGATATACGATGCAGGTACAAAGGTTGATGGTAATTGTCGATGAGATGAACTGAAAAGAAAGGGCCATTATTAATTTAATCAAAACCTCTCTTAATGAGTGCTTACCTAAATTTTGTATGTGAGGCTTTCTGAATTTCTTTTATTTTTTCCACTTCTGTCATTTGTTCAGGCTGATGAGAACCAGTGACGGTCTTAAGAACAGAAAGATAAACTAAACAACTACGCATATGCACTTAATTACAAAAACCCACCTTTGCTAACATTTCTAACGGCACCGGTTCACCACTTACAATTGTGGATTTATTCGGCTACAAAACATACAAAAACACGTAAAAAAGCGTTGCGTTTTTTTACTTACAATACTTACAGCCATATCTCGTTCTTCAGGCTTAATTTGTGCTTTTATTATACTAGAAGAAAAAAGATTAAATAGAGTTTCCAAAGGTTTTCAGTTAAGATAAAGAGATTCTAACAGATTAATAGCAGTCAAAAAGAAAGTTTTGTTAGTGGTTAAGAAAAATTAGCAGGCAATCCAAATAATTTCTAAGTGGAAAAGGCATCTACCTTTTCATCCTAATCGGAAATACTGAGAACAAAAACGAGAGAAATCAAATAAACGGAGAGAAAATCAATTTACTCTAGAGTGGCATCGTCTACTGTTGTTTTATTATAATTTGTTAATGGAGTCAATGGATCCAAGAAACCTCGAATTTTTCTTGCAACAACAACACTTGCATTACATGGAATCAATGCATTCTGATCCTTGTATTCTTAAATAGAACAAAACAAAATATTTAGTTATTATCACTTTAAACATGCGGTAAAATGTCGATAATTTTGCTTTTCACATAGTGCGATTAATTACCTTCGAACGTGCTTGCATTGCTCACGGTTAATTCATAGTCATATTTTGGATCATGTGATTTGGAACATTTTTCCATAATTAAACGTTTAAGTTCGCCCAGTGAACAATCTCTACCATTAAATTTAACATATTCATAATTATCTGTTTTAGCCGTTTTAAAACGATAACGAATAATAGATGACATAGTGCGGTTTTTCTATTTTAACTTGTTTAATAAGCATACAATAAATATAACACAAAATAGTACAAAAAATTCATAAAAAAAAAACGAATGTTTTAACTTAGAATAAATAAATATAAACAATAACACAGAAATATTCACCAAGGATAATTACAGGTCAAGTAGGGAAAGAGATAACCACTAATATCTATCTAGAAAAAAAACAGTAAACTATATCATAAAGCTGAAGTCAATAAGACAAGAAGAGAAAGTCATCTGTTTACATATTGATCAAAAATCTCGTACCAGCTCACAGCTCAGTGATAGAATATGTAATAGTAACATTGGTTCGTGACCTTGAAAACCAAATGGAGGTACTTACTCACTTCAAAAATGCTGATGAGAAGAATATTTTTCAAGAATCCGTCGATTTACAACAGAAACTTCTAACGAAGATATGCTATGAAACCTTTGAATAGATAATATATAAGTAATAAGCTTGAAAATAAACCCAAATGAGTGGTTTACACTCGATGACGCAAGAAGAAAAGTTATCGACGATGACAAACAAAAATTGCGCGATATCTTTTTTTTGCAATGTGCGTCACACCTTTTGTTTTATATGTGCTTTTTTCTATAACGAATTAATATAATCATAAGGAAAGAAGAGATTAGATTGCTATCACGATGAATAATAGCGACCATTTTCGATCAATAATTTCTTGACCTCCTATAAATTCTTGATTGTCCAATGTACGAGACTACGTAAAAAATTTTAAATAAATAGATACCATCTGCTACAGCTGTTTTCTTCTACTGACGCCTCCTCTCTCTAAGTAGATGTCGTTAAAACGATTGCTTTAGTAGATAGAACGATGGATGGATTCGGTCGAAATAAAATGCATTCACTATTCAAACTACATAAAATAATCCTCGCTTTTACCAGAAATTTAGACTTTTTTGCATAAATTACTAAACAATCTAATGTATGATAACTGCAACGACATTAAATTGGATATTTGCGACCTCTTTTGTTGTTGGCGTCGTTGACATATACAGCTACTGTTATCGTATTGGTCGAGCATAATTGGGAGATGAGCAGTCTTTTTCCTTTCTATTTCGTTCTTTTTATGTAGTTTTGATTTTGCGTGCTTGAAGGAAAAGAAGAAGGGACATTTTCCTATTTTAAAGATGGAATTTTTCTATACGGAAGTAATATTATTTTGTCTTGCTTTTTCGAGCGAATTTTGGTTTATGATAGGTTTTAGTTTGAAAAGTTGAAATAGATATTGCATAAGTTTTCGATGTTTTGTCTGTTGTCGATGCAGAATTAAAGAGCAAACTGTTACAAAAAGCAGATGGAATAAAAAATAGTTTCTAATAAAAACGAGGTATGTCCTTGTAATAAGTAGGTGATTGGTGGGAGAGACATGTATTAATATCTTTCTGCAATAAAGATTGCAAAGTACAAGTTACTGGATATGTCACTTTATCCCGTGAAAGCTTCCAGGCATAATTTAGTAAACAGCTTACATATTTACACTTACTTAAGTGGTACTAAATCGCTTCTGGCATCAGGAACATCGAAGATTATTAAACAATAACAAGATAGTTAAGTAATTTGCTATTTTTCACTATTTCATATTTAACGTTGTAAATCATTCCGTTTTGATTTTATATTCGCTTTTTATTACAAGCTTTCAAATTTAAAGTCGATCCGCCCTGCATTCTATGCGAAATTGTTGATTTTACAATCATTCCACTGTTTATTTTAGATTGATTTTCTTGCTTGTTTAAATTCCTTTCGCTTCTTTTTTGTTAGATACATCAGTAATCAATTGAGCATTATGACTTCTTCAAGTTCAGATGAATCCGATAATGAAGGTAACCTAAAACCTTTAATTTGTAATGACCGTCTCTTGAATGTATTGTATGATGCTTTTATTTAGATCCTTTTGATTGGGATGTATATTTGAAGAACACAAAAAGTCAGGCTGCGCCAGCAGAATGTTTCAAACAAGTAAGTTGAAGAAAAAAGGGTATCACGAAACGGTGCGAATGAATTGGCTTAGAATTTTAACGGTCATCCCATTTAAGAATTTCTAGGAGTTTATTTTGCTCTCAGTATCTGTTTTATCATACCAAAATTTTTCTGCTTACGCAATTGTATTTTATATGTCAGAAGTGTTCATATTTTTCTCTTTTTTTAAGTCCTTACATCCTCCCGTGAATGAATTTAACGTAGGTCATAAAGTTGAAACGATTGATCCTCGAAATGCTACATCTTGGTGTATTGGTACAATTATAGAAAAACGTGGACCGAGATTACGATTGCGGTTAGACGGAACAGACGATCGAAATGACTTTTGGCGATTAGTCGATTCAGCCGAAATACGACTATATGGAACGACAGTTAAAATGGTTTGTATCGATTATAGTCCTTTCTTTAACTTTTAAAATCAAAGTGTTAGCATCTCGCTTGACACATTTAGACAAGCATGAAACTATCTCACATGCTAAAAGAGCTGGAGATGTGATATTCACTTGTGTTATACGCGCATTAGTGCTCTTGTTTCAGGGTCAACCGATTGTTCCACCGCTTGGTTTTCAACAGAACTCCACACGATGGTTAAAATATTTTGACAAACATGTTAAAATGGGTCCATTCGCAACTGAATCGTGTTTTAAATCAGTGTGTATATTAAACGAAGAAGTATCGTTTTAAATTACAATATCATTTTTTTGTGTTTAGGAACCTTTATCTCCTAAAACAAATTTATTTGTAATAGGCCAAAAATTAGAAGCTGTTGATCCAAAAAATCCACATTTAATTTGTCCGGCTACGATAAGTGGACTATATACTGGAAATCAAATGCGAATATCGTTAGACGGATGGAGTGATCAAAATGATTTCAGAATATCGTGTTATTCGCGAGATATATTCCCTTGTGGCTGGTGTGCCAAAGCAGGATGCAAATTAGTAGAGCCCGGTAATAATGGTAAGTTTCATGTGATGTGGAAATCTTATATAATCAAGCATCTGCATTTTTACTAGACACCATCTTTTTCTTCCACAATTCTCTTGATAAAGCAGTATTTGCTTTTAAATAATCTTTGCTGATATTTCTATTTAGTGTACAAACGTGACCCAAAACTAAAACTGCAGAAGGATCATAAAAAATCACCATCTTCATTAACGCATTCAGTACCGGTAGCACGTGTTATTCAAGATCCAGAATTATCGACAAATCATAAGAATGAAACCGATATAAACTCTAATTTGAACAGTTTGAAAAGTTCTTCTCCATTAGTGATATCAACAACAAATGAAGAAAATGATCGTGATTTAAATAAAAGAAAAGTTAAAAAACAACATTATCGTCGTAACAAAGACTATCGTCATGTAAAATCCGAGCATTCAAATCAACAAGCATCTTCGTCTGATGATTCTTTACTAAAAAAACGAAGCTTAACTACGAATAATCAGTCTATAATTGAAAAAAATATGTCCGGTGATCACAAAAATATAATTGATAAAAATCAACATTTAGCTATTATACGGAACGAAACAAGTAGAGAAGCGGATTTAGAAACAGGTAATTGGAAGAATTTTGCTGCTTTCAGACTCTATTCTTTGTAGATCTTAAATAATTCGATGATTCGATATAGAAGGAAGTAATTTGTGACAAGTCGCATTTTTTTTGAGCAAATTCTCTTACACATTATGGTGTACCTCTTCAGTACGTAATGTGAGAGAAAATTAAATAAAATTAGTTTAAATATTTATTATTCTATTGGTTTTATGGAACTTCTCCTAAAACTTGGTTGCAAAACTTGGTTACAGAATTGCAAAATTTTCTTTTTTATCTTACTAATTTTTTCCTTTTAGTTTTCTGTTGCTTCTTAGACATTTAATTAATTTCAATAGAAATAATATAACTAAATCTGAGTTTTTATGCTTTTTAAACCTTAAACGACAATAGCGGGTATTTTCGTTCATTAGTATTTACATACCTACCCGGAACCCGTATTTGAAAATTAATCAAATAGAACGAAAACAACCTTAGACCTTTTCTTCAAGTATTACTTTAGCATAACATACGAGAAGTTTCACATTTTATCTCCGTTAGGATCTACTCTGACAAGGTTGTTTTCAATGTTTTGAACATCATCGGCGAAGGTATCCGTTACATGATATATGTAGCCATGCGATTCATCGTTACTTCTAAGCGATTAAAGATCGATGTTCACAGGAAGTAGAATCATAGGATGAATATATTGAAACCTACTTTGAGAGCATTTTACTGCTGAAGAAAGAAATGACTAAACTTCGTAGATGTGATTTTCAAAATTTTTGTACGAATGTACTATTATAAGAACTAAAAGAAAGCAAGAGCAGCAGTAGTGTACTGTTTTAGTTTATATATACATCGAGGTATTTTTATTAAGTTTATAGTGTAGTATTTTTTCAATAGTTATGTTTATTACAAGAAAATCTTTCAATAAATAAATTTAGAATTTTCTTTGAGAGAATTTTGTTAACATTTCCAGATGTGAATCGATTGACCATTTTGGCTAACATTATTTTAAGATGGCGACGATATAAATAAACCGTATTAGTATGGTTGACTATCTACACAGTACATCTTTATTCAGTTTATTTCAATGTTATTTTTAATTTGTTTTAGTGACTGCTTATTCGAACTGTTCTGGAGATAATGGTGGAATATTAATGAATCCTCAAAAACTACGCACATTATTACCAGCTAAATTTGGTCCAGAAGAACCAACAAAAGTTTTAAAATTAATATTTGATTCTTGTAATAAATGTGCATTCCAACCATCGTCGTACATTAATTTAATTCTTAATATGACACCAACTACTCTACAAAAAACAAAAATTGAATGTACGTATCATATAGTAAGAATGATTAGAGAGTTTTTGTCTTTTTTTTGATAATCTGAATTAGCAATAATCAATTAAATGTTTTTCTATTATATATTTTATACAATTCTCATAATTC